AACATGGCTGCTGAAAAAGAAACCTCAATGGCCGAGACACTTACAAAGCAATCTCTAGTTGCTTTGGATATGCCTAACTAGCATTCATTACATCTTTATTTTAGTACCATGCATGCAGAACTCAGTTTCCTTACGGGAAGCCAGGGAGCCATCCAACTCACCACCTACAGTGGTGGAAAGGAACAAGTAATGCAAGTGATTGCAAAGCACTTGCCTAAAATCCAAGGAATTATACAATAATAATAGTAATCATCTGTCACTAAAAGTATTTCCATCTTAGTATGTTGTAAGTAATACATTTTCTCTTTACTTAAATCTCTCTTTATTCTCTAAATAATGCATTACCCATTGCATTTACAATCTCCTTGCCTGCTTCGTGTTTTAAATTGGAATCTGGCCTGCCCACGTGTGCTAACACCATTCACCTCAAGAATAATACCAGGTAATCGTTAACAACAGGATTCTGAGATTTATGGTTTGAGCTGTGAGGTGGAAGAACGTCAGCAGTGCAGTAATTCAGAAAAAGAATCCTCACACCTCATTTCTTCATTCAAATAAATTCGACAAATATTTCTTGAGCACAGAGCCAGAGCCAGGCAATGTGTTACAAAACACAATACTCCTTAGAAGGCCACACAGACATGGAAACTAATCACGGTAATCGAGGTAATAAAAGTTTTATTGAGGATCTGCAGAAACTACCTTGGTAACATACAGGATGGAATTACTAACTCTGCCCCGGGAGGAAGGCTGTGGAAGGTGTCTCAGTGGGTTTTGTTGTAGATAATGAAGTCCCTTCTAGCTAGTTTAACAAAAAGGGATTTAATGTGGAGAGTTAGGTGTTTGCAAAGTTGTTGGAAGGGCTGGAGGAACAGGCTCTAGGCAGGGCTTCCAGGGATAAATCTCAGAACAACAAAGTTGAAGAACGGACCCACTGAGGGTGTTGATACCCTTTGAAGATCAGAAAGTCAGGGCCTCAAAAAGCCGATGCCCAACTGTCCACAATGGAATCATGTCACCTCAGCTGTAATCCATGCTAACACAACGGATGACCCTCACACAGCCTCTCGACCCCCCAGGAAGCTAGACAGGACACTCGTGCAGTAAACACAAAAGTCCCTGCTACTGTGTGTTGCCAGCAGGATGCCTGGGCCTCAGTTCTGTCTTCCAGAGTGTTTGGTCTGATGGGTAGAAGCTGGGCCTCATGTGGAACTCAAGCTGTGAGGAACCTGGAAAACGTGGTCTCCAGCTTTAGGGCCTCTGTCCTGCAGGAAGTCTTGCAACAAAAGGGTGGGATGGATGTGAGGGAGCCAGTCTCCAGTTTCTGCCTTGAAGTCTTCATGGAGAAAGGAACCTGGTGGATGGGCAAGGACCCACGGGATGAAGGGCCTTGTGAGCGGAGGCAGCTGTGTGTACTGTGTGCTGCCTGGGAATGGGGCTGTGGCGAGCACGGCTTGCCACTCTATGTGTTATGTGCAGTGGCATGCTGGCAAATGGTTAACAACTAGGCTCTCCAGAGAGAATAAAAAGTCCTGATTTGTAGGGTAGGCCAATTTCTGTGTTGTAAATGCTTCCCACATGGCCTATTTCAAACTACCAATAAGACATCACATTGAGTATGGGGTTGGGAAGAGATGCCAACTGGCTTCAGAGCTCTCTATATTTGTGATGTGAGTAACTTCTCAAAACAATCCCGTAAGATGTATACTATAGTTCCATTTCACAAATGGTGAAACTGAGGCCTAGAGAGGTTAAGTATTTTACCCAAGGCTGTGCAGCGAATTAGTGGTTGAACCTTGTTTTAGATCCAGGTCTGCCCGTACTCAAAGCCAGTGTTTCTTTCAACAAGACTATGCTGCCTCCAGAAGAGGAATATGGTCAGATCTCCATTTCGGAAAAGTTCCCCTGGCTGCGCAGAGCAGAGGTTGATATTGTAGCATGAAAGAATTCTAGACATCATGTAACTGAAGAGGTGTATATAACATATAACTGAATGGGCGTGTGTGTTCCAGTACAATTTTATTTACCAAAGCAGGTGTTATATAGTGTATATTATAGAGATGGGTTGGAAGGAGGCACAGTCAGAGGTTGGAGATCACATTCAAGGTTACCGAGGAGGCTGAGAAGTGATGAGCCTGAGCTGAGGTACGGTAGGGTGTCAGGAAGCATGGACATATTGGACGGAGTTGCAGGATGGAATTGCTGGCCTTCCAGCACATCAGATGGGGATGGATTAGGGGGAAGGGGCCGAGTTACGAGTGGGAAGTCAAGGATAATTTCCCGGCCTCTGGTTTGTGATTGTGAGCATGATGGTGCCGTTGGCCAGGACAGAGTCGTCAGAAGAGCTTTCTTTAGCTTATGTTTTCAGTTTGGGCATGTTGAGTTCACAGGACCTGTGGCAAGTCCGAGTCGGGGTGGCCAGCAGGAAAGCAGAAACCCATGTGCTAAGAGACAGATCTGAGTGGTCATGGTAAGCACATCAGTCCGGAGATGTTAGCCGAAACCTTGGCTGTAGATAAATTTGCGAGAGAGTGTGGGGACATCTGAGAATAAGGCAACAAAGGAGCTTAGGGAACACAGGGATGGTCTCAAGGAAAACCAACTCAGAATCATGTTTCTCTAGACAAGGTGAGAGTTTCCAGAATGAGAGAGGGGTCAGCAGGGCTGGGTGCTGCTGTGGATGCTCTGACGGGCTGCTCAGGTCCCACTCAGGAGCAAAAAACTATTTTAACCAGCCGCTGTGAACCCCTTCCAAAGATGACCTCCAACTATTGGTCCTCTCTGGGGATTGCCTCACCTGAAGGAAACTGCCTGGTTCTGGGTCACTTCCTTCCAGGGCTAGCCCATATCCACTGACCAGCACAGCGGAATGAAGGCCTAGCCCCTGCGTCCCAATTTGGGCCAATTCTGCAGGGCCACTGCAACTCCAGATCTCCCTGTGGAGCTGACTGTGGCGTAAGTGGGTGCCACGTGGCAGTGCAGCTCCTCCCTCTGGCCCTTCCTGCTTCCTTCCCCTTCTTCTGTACGTATCGAACCCATGTGCACCCCCAAATCAACATCCTGCTTGCTCATCTTCATCTCAGTATCTGTGTCTTGGGGAGCCTCTCATGGGACAGATACTCATTCCTGTGTCCTCTGCCCTCTGAGGTTGCTGTTTGAGGGTGAGCAGGGCCAAAGCAACCTATTCATTCACCAAATCATAAAACTAAAGGATGGTGGGTAAAAACCAAGATTCTGACGTCTTACTGACTGAATAAAGCTTTATTTTAATGCAAAATAAAACAAGAAAAATTTGTATATTCAAATATAACAACATCCAAAATGTGTTCTGTGGTACAAACGAAATCATCCTAAAAAGTCTGTGAAGAATTCATTCTCCATCCCCATACGCCAAACTGTGATTCACATAATTTATCTTCAGAACTTATGAACAGACTTGGTATCCAAGAAGCACAGGAAAACACTAGAAAAAGTGACTGTATAAACAGCAGGTTTTGTTTTTACGTTCCAGTAGTAAACAGCACTGCAGTCAGCAGAGATGGAGCAGATCACTCTGTGAAAAGGCTGAGTCAGGAGACAGTCCGGGTTAGCTCATTCGCCAGTCGGTGTGGAAGTTAGGCCTGTCATTAAAAGTCAGGCTGTGTGTGATTCTATGACTATTTAAGGACAGGCGGGGCAAAGAGCTTCACTTAGAAGTCGTAGCTCCGTGTGAGAGTCTAGGCTTATTTTAGATACCTAACTTTATTCTCCTTTTTATTGGAAAGGGGACTTTGTAGGGATATCTGTTGGAGAGTCCTCTTTGTGGTCCAATTGTGGCATCGTTTCCACCCAAGTCGGCGCGAAATGGGAGTGCAGAGAAATACTACGCTGCGCTGTTTCTGAAGCCAGCTCCTTCCTGCCTAATTGCACTCAACCTGGACTTTCTGTTGCTCATGGACTCAGAAAGTCTGCCCAATTTAGCACCAATTTGAAGGCCGTTCACTGTGGATTTCGGAGTTTAATGCCGACGGGAATTCTGCAGACACACATTCTTCTCCACACCAAGCTCTCCAGATCTCTCTAGCCCCCTGAAATTGCAAATCTTTGGAAGGAATAATAAATCATGTTTTAATTTTATTTAGCTGGTGGCAAAAACAAAACTGCAGTGAATTCTCAAATCTCCTCTATCAGGCAGTGTGTGCAGTTTCTTCCATGGGGTGACCATGGGTCTGTGGTTTTCACCACGTTCTTGATTATAAGATCTTTGCTCCATGCTGTCCTATGGGGGCTGATGCATACAGACTTACAAATCTACGAATGGTGAGCTTCACAGTAATTATTTCCAAGTTTTGTTTGTTAATTGTGATTTAGGTAAATGCTCTTGCCTTTCATCCACTGGTTTGATATTGTGGAGAAGCAATTATTGTACCAAGACTGATACTGCCTCAGCTCAGTGACACATCAGGTTAATGAGATGTTATGTTTCTCTCTCTTGCAGAGGACTAAATTCTCCTACACCTAAAATTTTTCAGTGATTTGCTCCCTTTCATTGCTCTATGCCTGCAAAAGGACAAAACCAGAGCTCTTTAAAATATCTAGTGACTTGAGGCCCAAACATCATTTCAAGGTTTAAATGATCTAGTGGTCAGATCAGGACGCAGGTGTGTGTGTGTGTGTGTCAATGGGTTTGCATCTCTCTGTACCTATTCCTGGGGGGCTATTGGTGTTCTGGGCTACAAGGAGACACCTAACTTAGTTTTCCCAAGGCCATATATAACAGGGAACTATTTCCTGCTACTAGGTACCTACTGATTACAGCATGGTCTTCTAAATACTCTAAACAACTTGTTCTCCTAAATACCGGGAGTTTGTAACCTCTGGGTGGTGACAATTGGAGGGCTGGTACACAGACATTTGTAAAGCTTACATTCAAGCCATTCTTAATTGTTGCTTGGCTTGACGGAAACACTGTCATACACATAATGTTAACTTCTTTCGGGCAGGTTCAAATGGGGTGTGTGTTATACTTCAAGCAAGAAAAAAGAACGGCTGTAATCTTTTTGTGGTCCACTTTAATAGTACCTTCACATCACTGGCTGCCCCTCAAGATTAGCAACTGTTTTATTGACTGTGTGTGTATACAAAACAAAACCACGCTGGGAGCAGCTGACCCGGAGCCTGTCTTTAGGAGGTATTGTTCTCTCAAGGTGGCAATGTGGTGAAAATATGGGCATTCTTCTGAGAAGGGTCACTCCTTCAATACACAGAGACTATCTCCCTTTACACTACTGGCCCTGGTCACCCCTTGTGTGGCCTTGGCCTTAATCCAGAAGAGCCTTTTGGCTTGGTTACAACCAGTAGTCCATAGAATTTTAGTTAAATGATGGACCATGCTAGAGAGCAGATTTGTAATGCTTCAAAACAAGTTAAATTTCCCTCACATTATCATTTTCTTCTTGAAGGTGTATTTAGATTGAGGGGAAGGTAGCATTCAGCATGTTGGCAGGGAAACCCTATATAGCTCACTTGCACTGTACCTCCAGGTGAGCAGGGCGGGGCCTCGACCTCCACACACATCGCAAATCATTGGAAGGGGCCTGGCTTAAGGGAGATGCCAGAGGGTAGAAAACAACTTGACAGTCTGTTTTCAAGAGGACCATAAGTAAATTGTAGTTTAGCAAACTCTCAAAGTCCAGTAAATAACACTATTTAAGTCTAAAACCAGCAGCTGCATCACTCTGGGTAACGGAACTCTATTTTAAATTAAAAAATAACAAGGCTAAACTCGGCTAGATGGGCACTCTATATATTCAATAATACTATAATTTATTAAATCCTATCAGTCAGAGGTATTCTAAGCTTGGCCAAAATATGTCTAAATTGAGCTCAAGACATTTCTTTCTTTCTTTCTTTTTTTTTATTTTGGGGAGGGAATGAAGAAGGAATGTGAAAAGGCTTAAAGCATTTCAAGAGTCACCGAACAATTCAAACTGCTGCTCTGAGGTTTTACTGTTTCTTGGTCTTTTGTTTGAATTCTCATTTGGGTCAGGTTGTGTTAGGTGTTCTGTTGAAATAAGTAGAAAATAGCTGCAAAGTTCCAAAGAAATTGTGATGGGTTTAGGAGGATGGGGTTTCAGCTTTTCAAAGCGGTAAGACTTTCATTTCCCAATTGGAGACCTTGGCCTTGGTCTTGCCCTGACTTTTGTTAATGAAATATAGCAGACACAGAATGACTTAGTTTTATGCCTCTACTCCCTTCCTTTCTGGGTTTGTTTGTTTGTTTTTTTTCATTATTTTCTTACTCATCAAACTTTCCAGAAAGGATTTTTATCTTCCATTCTCCATACTGGTAACCACACACTTTCCTATCCACACACACACACACACATACACACACACTGTCAATCACCACCATCTACTACTTGCTGGTTATCAATATCCAAAGGCCACAGTCAGCCCCTCCATGTCCCCAGGCGCAGATTGCACTGTTTGGCACTGAGTTTGGAATTGGCACCTCCAGGGCATTGCTTCCTGTGTGACCTAATCAGTGGTCCTTCTTTTTCCTCAAGTACATTTTAGCCCTCAAGTGGGTATCTTCAAGTGGAGGCCCCAGTTACAATAATTATAGGCAGGAGATTTGGGGATGACTCTGAAACCAGGTATCTCCACGCTATGGTGCCTGGGACGTGGGAGGAAGAAAGGTGAGGGCCATGGGAGTCTCAGCCCTATTAACGTGATCACCTTGGTCCTTGGAATATATTCCGGCTAGGTGTGCACATTTTCCCAGGACACTAATACTGCATTCGCATCTTTTATATAAAAAGTGAGGACACGTGAAATGCCTATACCAAATGAATGGTACCAGGAACCTGAGAAATTCTACAAATAAAGAAATGCAGTCTTACTCTGGGTATAAAACATTTCAAGGAGATCACAAGTTATGTTTGCTGTTCTTTTTCTCGCTGAAAATATTACCCACTTCAGATGCCCATATTTGCAGTCACTCTTCAGGCTTAACACTAACAAGGCGGCTGAAGCTTAGCTTCTGAATGGATGACCATCCAGGGCAGAGACTGCCTCCATGCTGCCAATTCTGGGGGATGTGCGTGCACAGGTTATCTGGCTGGGAGACACAACATAATACATCTCCATTGTTATTTGTCTATTCAAATGCCACTCATTGAATTCTGAAAGAATTTCAGATACCAGACACTATTGTTTTTATGGCTCCATCCTTCCTCTTCCTCCTCATTTGTCCCCTCCAAACTCTCGTCTTTCCTTTTCTCTCTGATGAGCAGTCAGATGCTACAACCTCAGTGAGGAGAAACCTACTCTCTACCATGGAGAATTCTCAGCAGGAAGAAGGCCTTAGGGAAGGGCCAAGGTGATGGTAGATATCTTCCTTTCTGGGCTGCGCTGAGCTCGGTGGCACCCAGCTACACGGCTGCGGTCATGGGGTTCTTCTGCCGGGGATCCTGGGTTCGGTAGGGGTACTGGTCTGGGCTGCCCCCTCGGGGCCCTGGTCTGCCCATTTCCTGATAGGCTGGCACTCTGTGGTGCTGAGGGGGTGAAGGCGGAACATCTTGTCGGAAGGGTCCTTTGTGCTGGGGTGCTGGTGGGGGTGGGTAGTACTGGGGATACCGGAGATCTGCGACCCTCAGATCTGGGGGGCGGGGATAGCTCCCTTTGGGAGGATGCACAGGATGAGCCCCTGGATAATACGAAAGCTCCCTCTCCTTGTAGGGTCCTCGAGGTGCTGCTGTCAGATAATCTACAGGATCGGCTGTGCCACCCCTGCAAAGAGAAGAACAGACACATATCAACTAAGATGGCTGTCCAGCTGAAGACCATGTTCCTCAGCCTCCCATGTAGTTTGGTGGGGCCACAGACTAGGTCTGGCCAATGGGTTGCGAGCAGAAGTGATGTATGCCCTTAAGAAGAAGACAGGGAGCCTTCTTCCCGTCTCTCTTTCCTGTTGGCCACTGGAGCAGCCAGTTTAGACCACAAGGAGAAAGCCACATGCTGAGGAAGGCAAAGCAACAGAAGGCAAGAACCTGGGTCCTCAATGCCAGGGAGTCACGATGGGCAGGACTGCTTACGCTGGGATTGGTACATCCGAGAGAAATATTCTTCTATCTTGTTTATACCCTTATGTTGGCTTTTATTATAGTAGCCAAACCAGTTTCCTAGACAAGACAGAATCTGACTCTTCTAAGGTTGGGATCATTCAACCCCTCCCCTTTTCTGCCTTCTTGAAGCTAGTCCTACATAGGATGGTAGGAATGTACAGGTTATTTGGAGCCATAGAGTTCCCATGGATTACACTCACTTCTCTCCTAGGTCCATGGGTGCTCGTAACATGGGCCGTGGTTTTGGTCTACCTCTGGCTGGCTTCTGTCACATCCCTGTGTGGATGAAGGTGCCCTCCTGTCCCTACAGTTCCTAGACAAAGTCTTTACCCAAGGCTGGGAATTACCCACCTAGAACACTGATGTAAAGCAATTCTCCCATAAAGTCGAGAGGCACCACCAGGCCAGTAGCAGAGCAGGAAAAACCAAACCAGCTGTATGTTACTCAGCGTAATGAGTAGGCACACGGAGAGGTCCAGGGCAAGAATAAACACTAACAGAAAGCGACCCTGTCTGGATCTTTCTGCTAAGACAACAAGCATCTTCTGATCCCTTTGTCATAACAGAAGCAACACATCTCTAAACAATGTACAGATGACTGCATCTTATCTAGCCTGGGGTTAAACAGATGAGTTCTGTTTGCAGCTCTTAAAATCCCATAAACCTTCTGTACACATATTCACCTCCCCTACCCCCCCACACCCTTCCCATATTTTGTCCCTTTACCCCGCCATTTTATTATTTTTTAGAAGGAAAACAGCAACAATCATAATTAATGAAAAGCTCTCCAATGTCAGTACAAACTGGTAGAACACTTGAAAGAAATGACAGGGCTGTAAGACTAGAGTGTCTGTGGTTAATCAAGCACCGTCAATGAGGGTCAAAATCACCCTGTAATCTACGGAGTTTGATGTTAACACAGCTCTGTAAGTTCCCCAAATCAATGAAGGCTTGACAAGCTCCGAGCCCTGGGCATGGGGAAAGCAGCATGCGAGTGCATTCATAAGGATGAACAATAGAATTCTCTCTGTACTTCTTTATGTCTTAATTTGGCTATGTATAATAATGAAAGATAGATCCTCAAGCTTGGGGTAATTTACTTAGTGAGAGTTTTCAGATAAAAAAAATTAAATTGTTTACGTACAAGTTATTATAACATCAACTGCTATTATTCAGTAGAGTATGCTTTGCTCTATTTTAAATTACCCATGACAAATAGAGCAAATGTATAATCTGTCACTCCAGCCCTGGGAAATTAAGAATCGAGTTCTCATTTTCCCTTTCCATTCGAATTTTATTTTTGATGTAGGGAAACTTCCAGCATTCATTATATCCTTTATCATAAAATATTTTAAGCCCCCCCCCCGAACCCCTACCCCTGTACTCATTTCTATTTCCTTTGGTTCATGTGAGAGATTTCCTCAATTTTTTTTTTAAATCCTTAACCTGTGCTTTCTCTCAAAATCTACTGAAGATATTTCTCTGCATGAAGTGAAACATGTGGTTTTTCTGCACTCATTTTAAGCCCTTGGGATAAATCACTGACATTTGCAACACACAAACATTATCTGCCTTAAAATGAACACACAACCAGTGCTCCCTGCGGACCCTCTTAGCCTGGATGTTTCCTGTTTAAAATGGAAAGAGAGAAAGGAGAAATTCCAGGCCCTGGACTTTTAGGGTCCTGTTCTCTCCCTGGAGGTTTCTCTCTTTTAAAACAGAACATTATAAAAGACAGGCATGCTTTGGTTTGGTTTTTTTTTTTTTTTTTGAGAGAAAACCCAGATCAAGTGGTGACGGGGCAGAAGCCACCCTCAGAGCCACCAGGACAGCACAGGTTGTGTGTGCAGGGGACGGTCACTAGCTCTTCTCCCACACCTCGTCCCTGTGACTCCTCCACCTCCCATGGCGAGGGGCAGGGAGGGTCCCCCTGGGCACATGGGGCAGAATTCAAGATCATTTTGTGGTTCCATATTGCTTCTCTCTGAGGGGAGAGTTTCATGTCTGGGAGTTTGTGTACATGTGGCAGAAAATAAGTAAGGTAGCTGTTTTTTGTCAAGAAATGAAATCATGGAAATTGTCTTTCTCTGTGGAACTCATCAAAACAGTTATTGTTTTTAATTTTTTGGAGAGAAGAAAAACAATGCGCTGGCCTATAAAAACACTGGTTAAGGTTCAAAGAGTGTTAGAAGAATTTTTCTTTCTTTGATGAGGGGGAGTCGGATGTTGTTTATAATAACTTTTTGCTCAAAATTGAGCATTTCCTACAGACTTTTGCCAGGACAACTCTAAGTGCTTGTGAATACTGTGTACACACACACACACACACACACAAACACACTTAAAAAAACAATTTTTAAACAGGAGAAAAAAAAAGCCCTCCCCCTTAATTACAGAACTAGGGAGGGAAAAAGAACGGAGAACTGAAAGTTTAGCTTTATTAATCTTGAGTTTCCCTTTTTATAGTTTCTTTATTTGGGTGAAATGTCATATTTGTAGGAAAGCACAAAAGCCAATCCATTCTGGGGCCCAAGAAATGCTTATCACAGTGGCCGATACTGCAGGTTTGAGTCTACCCTGAGAACCAGGGGCAGACTCTCCAAGACTCTGATGCAAACAAGGATCCAAACAGCAAATGTATCAGAACATCGAGACCCCTTATTTTTCATGGGACCTCATGATTTTTATTTGTATGCATTATCATTTTCTTAAAAACAAACAAACAAACCACCTTTCCCTTGAAAATCTCACCCAGGAACCATATTTATATAAGGAAAGAGAAACAAACCTGTATTTGCTTTCTTTATAATATAACTCTTTGAGGAAGAGTTATGAAAATATCTATTTAACAATTTTTTCTTTTTTTAAATGTTTTTTACTCTTTACTCTTCTATTTTATTTTTGGCTCATTTCTTTAGGCTCATTTCTGGAGGCCACAAGGATTGGGGTTTTGCTTGGAAAACTCACAGCAACTAGCTCAGACATAGTTTCCAGTCACACAGATGCATGCAATAATGAATGGTATCCTTCAGGCCTAAACATGACATGGCTATAGGGCACTGACGTGTGAAAAAAACAGTAAGGATCCCTTTCATTACACAAGGGTTTCCTCTGTTTGCCATCTCAGCATGTCGCTATTTTCCCTTAAACAAACAAACAAACAAACAAAAAGAACTGAACATTACGGGCTAAGCAGGTCAGATAGCCAGTCCCTGGGTGCCAACAGTTTTCATTTTATGGAAGGATGGAAGGCATGCGCCTACATTTTCTATAGTTCATTTTCCGAGTTTACATTATGCTATGTTGACTATGGTCACAACTGAGCAATGTGGTAAGAATATGATTATTTTTATTTTCCTGAACAATTTTTTGCTCTCACTCCAGAAAGAGGTTAGTGATTGTTTTATACTTTATTGGCTTAGTTTTTTTCTACTTTTTAAAGTAATCCACCTCAAAGCCTTTAACCAATTGCCTCTATAGTCTCCCAAAACGTCCAAACACCCTCAGGTGTTCCACTAAGCACATCCTCCCGAAGAATTCTCTCCCAGAACCCTCTGACCCGCCTCAGTCTAACCTGGTTGTCCTCTATGCCTGGTGCATAGCTAGGATCCTGAAATTTCACTTCTCCAACTTCCTGGGTTTGAGTCTTGTGCTTTGTATAAGATGATTCTGTATGCGGAAGGGTTTAGTATTGGAAAGACTGAGTCACTGGAGAAACCTTTTAGCTAGGAATGAGGTGGCTACATTTACTGGAGTAGATGATGGGGCATAAGTCCCTGGAACAGATGAAGAAGCACGGGCAGTTTCGAATCCTCCCATCTCCTCCTGCATTTTTCCTCCGCTCCCCCTTCAAATTGCAAAGACAATCCCTTTCTTCTGCACTCACTACAGTCAGTCATTGTCACCTTATCAGTCTTTCACCCTGCCTCGTGGCTAGTTATCTACTGCACTGGAGCATGAGCATCTTGAAGGAAGGAACTGGGCCTCATATATCTAGTGATTTCCCTTAGAGCTCCGCACAGGGTTTTGCAAATCCTAAGTGCTCCATAAATGTACATTGAGTTTGTTCAAGTGCATTTAAAGTAAAGAGAAAACCCAAAAACATACACAATAACCACAGAGGGATGTATGTGTGTAGGGGCTGGAAATAGGTAGGTGGGCAGAGCAATGAAAGAAGAAAATGGACTCTCATTGAAAGCCAGAGACTGACAATGGTTGAGGTAAGACTGCTCTCTAATTTTTAAAGAAGGAGGGAAGGAGGGGGGTGAGGTGGGCTGGGAAAAAAAAAAAAGAGTTGGATTGAGTCCAACACAGAATGACTAAACTTTATCAGGACACAGGTTATTACATTTGTCTTGTTTGCCATAAACAAAAGTATGCTCTCTTATCTCTGTTGCCTTGCATGCTACTTGAAGCACAGTAGGTGCTTAACAAATCTTGGGCTAAAATTAAATTGCCTTGACTTACCAGTGAGGTCAATAGGACTAACTGGTATACGTTAAATATATTTATCCAAAAATCATTTAAGGATTGTTTCTATTATGGTCCAGCAAAGACATTTTCTTTGTTTTTGTCTTAACACAACAATGTAAGAACATTTTAATGTACACGTTTAAAAATACAGTACCCATGGTTTCAAAGAAAATGTCTGAGGGAGACAATTTC